AATCAACTGTTGCATGAGGAGTATACTCATTTTCTGTCTGATGTTCTGGAGAAAGGATATGCTGAAAAGGTGCCAGAGCATCAATTAGATCGTGATGATGGAAAGGTTTGGTATATTCCTCATCATGGAGTATTACATGCAAAGAAAGGAACATTGAGGGTCGTGTTTGATTGTGGGGCAACGTTTAGAGATACTTCACTCAACAAACAATTGTTGCAAGGTCCCAATCTTACAAATTCACTTTTGGGAGTATTGTTACGATTCAGACAGGAAACCATAGCACTAATGGCTGACATTCAAGCTATGTTTCATCAGGTCAAGGTAGCAGAAGATGATGTGGATTTTCTTCGGTTTTTATGGTGGTCTGATGGAAACTTGAAGCAGGAAGTCACTACATATAGAATGACAGTCCATCTGTTTGGAGCCGCGTCTTCTCCAAGTTGTGCATGTTATGCATTAAGACGAATGGCAGAGGACAATCAAGCACTTTTTCCATCAGAAGTGATCGACACTGTCTTTGATTGTTTCTATGTAGATGACTGCTTGAAAAGCATCTTCTCAGAGGAGGCTGCTATTGCCATGGTGCAGGATCTTATTGCTCTTTGTCAAAAGGGTGGATTTTGTTTGACGAAATGGACTAGTAATAGCCGTAAGGTACTACAATCAGTTCCAGAAGAGTACAGAAGTAAGGACATCCAGTACTTGGATTTAGACCGGGACAAGCTGCCTGTAGAACGAACTTTGGGGCTCCAGTGGTGTGCAGAAGCTGACACGTTTCAATTTAAACTGCAGTTGAAACCCCATCAGTGCACAAGAAGAGGAATTTTGTCTACTGTTAGTTCAGTTTATGATCCTATGGGATTTCTTGCTCCTCTTATGTTGCCCGCCAAGTTGCTTCTACAGGAGATGTGTAGACAGAATCTGGGCTGGGATGAAGAAATACCTCCAGCTCTCAGAAAACAGTGGACTTGTTGGATTTCTAATTTGGATGAAGTGTCAGAGTTTCAAGTAGGCCGATGCTTAAAACCTACAGATTTCGGTGAAATCATGCATGCCTGTTTGCATCATTTTTCAGATGCCTCTGAAAAAGGATATGGTATGGTTACTTATCTTAGGATGATTAACAGTGATGATAAAGTGCATGTAACATTTCTACTTGCTAAGTCCAGAGTGGCTCCCCTTAAAACTCTAACCATTCCTCGCTTGGAGTTAACAGCAGCTGTTCTCTCTGTTAAAGTGGACCAGATGTTGAGAAGGGAATTAAGACTTCAATTGGAGAACTCAGTTTTTTGGACTGACAGTCAAACTGTGCTCAAGTACATCAAAAATGAAGACAAACGCTTCCAAACCTTTGTTGCAAATAGGGTCTCTTACATTAGAGATAGGACATTGCTTCAGCAATGGAGATATGTTGCCACCAAGGAAAATCCGGCAGATGATGCTTCACGTGGAATGCATATCAAGGCATTTATGCACAGTAAGAGATGGATTGCAGGTCCTAGCTTTCTTTGGAGAACAGAAGAGCATCAGTTACACCCCAAAGAGCAAATTGTCGATATGCACGAAGATGATGATCCAGAGATCAAGAAAGATCTTAGAGTGAATGCTGTTATCATGCAAGATATCCAGAATGCCAGTAACTGTCTTATCACACATTTTTCAGACTGGAAAAAACTGAAAGTGGCAGTTGCTTGGATGCTCAAGGTAAAAAAGCTACTGAAACTGATATGTCTCAAAAGAAAGGAATTACTGTTACTGGAAAGGAATTGCAGTGCTTCAAAATCAGACATAGATTTACAAATGAAGTCATTCAAGGCAACTTTGGGTGGACAATTTTTGTCGTTGGAAGACCTCTTTGAGGCTGAAATAGCCATTGTTCGCTTCAGTCAGCAGCAAGAGTTTCGAGATGAGATTCAACAACTGAAGCATGGTTCCTGTGGGGTCAAGAAGGAGAGCAGCATATACAGATTGGACCCTGTATTGGATGACGAACTCATCAGAGTAGGAGGAAGACTCAGAAAGGCAGCCATGCCTATCGAAGCCAAACATCCCATCATTTTGTCCAAAAATCACCATGTGTCAAATCTTCTACTTCATCACATTCATGACCAATTGGGTCATTGTGGTAGGAATCATATGTTGTCCAAACTCAGACAATCATATTGGATTATAAACGCTAATGCTGCTGCAAGAAAAGTCATTTCCAAATGTATTGTATGTAGACGTTACAAAGGAAAGATGGGCGAACAAAAGATGTCTGACCTACCTCTTGAACGAATTACACCTGATCTTCCACCTTTTACAAATACTGGTGTGGATTACTTTGGTCCTATCGAAGTTAGAAGAGGACGTAGTACAGTAAAACGATACGGAGTGATTTTTACTTGTATGGCAAGTAGAGCGGTGCACTTGGAAGTAGCCTATTCTTTGGACACAGATGGATGTATAAATGCTCTACGAAGATTTATTTCTCGTAGAGGTCAAGTAGTACACATCAGGTCAGATAATGGGACAAACTTCATTGGTGCCAACAGAGAGTTAAAAGAGGCCATTTCTGCATGGAACGACAAGCAAATTGAAAAGGAGTTACTTCAAGTAGGGGTTCAGTGGAGCTTCAATCCACCGGCTGGTTCCCATTATGGAGGTGCATGGGAGCGCATTATTCGGATGGTGAGAAACATTCTTTGCTCTGTACTTCGCCAACAAACACTGGATGACGAATCCTTTCATACCATTCTGTGTGAAGTAGAATCAATCCTAAATGATCGTCCCATTACCAAGGTATCCAGTGATCCCAATGACCTTGAAGCTCTTACTCCAAATCATCTGCTTCTCATGAAAGGCAAGCCTGCTTTACCACCAGGTCTTTTTGAAAGAACAGATCTCTATGTGAAAAGAAGATGGAAACAAGTGCAGTACCTAGCTGATCTTTTCTGGAAAAGATGGATACGGGAGTATCTTCCTCTACTCCAAAAACGTCAAAAATGGACAAAGGAACGTCGAAGTTTTAGTACAGGGGACATTGTACTTTTACTGGATCCTACTGCGCCTCGTGGCTCATGGCCACTTGGTCGAGTATTAGAAACCTTTTCAGATGATAAGGGCCTGGTACGAACTGTAAAGGTTAAAACCAAGAGTAGTATTTTAGAACGACCTGTAAGAAAGCTTTGTCTGTTGCTGGAGGTAAATGACTAATGTGGACTGTTACAGTCTGTGTCATGTGGTGCTTCAATATTTGTTATGGCTCCTTTACGTAATATTTGTAATTGTTATGTTAATTACCATAATCAATTAAGGGGCCGGTGTGTAGGAGCCATTTTTTGTGTTGTAGTGATTTATGTTGTCCACTAGGTGTCACTAACTGAAAACTATAACTGAGGTGCCTGTGTAAGCGAGGAAGAGCGTCAGGTATGGGAAAGCACACGGTTTTTGACCGTGCTACAGAGTAACTTGTTTGCTAGCCAGAAAACAGCAGTGTTTAGATATGTGCTGTGTATACATGGAGTGAATGTTATATTGACATGATAAAGAAGAAAGGAGAAGCAAAGATTGAGGCTTTGTTTAATTCACCTGCACAAATAAAGACATTCTGCTTAAAAACAACTTTAGCATGCATGGACTCTGATTGCACGCGTGAAATACGTGCTCACCCCCATTTCTGGCGATAACAGCAATGGAAGGCTGTTATATAATATAACATAATATAATATAATATAATATAATATAATATAATATAATATAATATAATATAATATAATATATAATGGCGACACAGAGGCCCAGTGATTAGCACTGTCACCTCACAGCAAGAAAGTTGCTTGTTCAAAAAGAATAGAATAGAAAAGAAATAGAAAAGACATGAATAAAATAGAGTAAAATAAAAATAGAATAGAATAGAAAATAACATAATAGAAAAGAATAGAATAGAATAGAAAATAATAGAAAAGAAAGAATAGAATAGAATAGAATAGAATAGAATAAAATAGAAAAAAACCATAGAATAAAAAGAATGGAATAGAATAGAACAAAAAAGAATAAAATATATAATCGAGAAGAAAATAATAGAAAAAAGAAAAGAATAGAAAGAAATAAAAAATAGAATAGAATAGAAAAGAATTTAATTGAATAGAAAATTAAATAAAAGAATAGAATAGAATAGAATAGAATAGAATAGAATAGAATAGAATAGAATAGAATAGAACAAAAAATAATAGAATCTAAAAGAAAAGAATAGAATCGAAAAAAAATAGAATAGAATAGAATAAAAAGAACAGAATAAAACAAGAATAGAATAGAATAGAATAGAATAGAATAGAATAGAATAGAATAGAATAGAATAGAATAGAAAAAAACAGAATCGGACAAAAAGAAAAAGAAAAGAATAGGATAGAAAATAATTAAAAGAAATAGAATGAAAAAAGAATATAATAGAATGGAAAACAATAGAATAAAAAGGAATAGAATAAAAAATAATAGAATAGAATAGAATCAAAAAGAATAGAATAGAATTAAAAAGAAACAAATAGAATAGAATAAATAGAATAGAATAGAATAGAATAGAATAGAATAGAATAGAATAGAATAAAAAAAGAATGGAATAAAAAAGAACAGAATCGATTAGAAAGAAAAGAATAGAAAAAAGAATAGAATAGAAAAATAATTAAATAAAAATAATAGAATAGAATCTAAAAGAATAGAATAGAAAAAATAGAATAGAAAATTATAGAATAGAATAGAATAGAATAGAATAGAATAGAATAGAATAGAATAGAATAGAGTAGAGTAGAATAGAATAGAATAGAATAGAATAGAATAGAATAGAATAATGGTGGCCCCTCCAAATAGTCATAATGGCACATTCAGAATAAATTTGCTAGGTTCAAGTGTATTGTATTGTGGATTATTGTATGAATTGAAAATAAAATATAAAATATATTATTATAATTTGAAAAATCATTACTACATGAACTTTGTCAAAGCATAAAACATCCTCACGTGCATGTTATGTATTTTATGTTTAATGCTTGTATAAAATACATCATATAAAACAGGTTTTATTTTTTACAAATAAATGCAGACAAGATAATCAACACATAATGAATCTTTCTTGTCTTTTCTTAAAATACTTGATTCATGTAACTGCAACAAAAACATTCTGAACACAACCGAAGGCATTTTATTCCTGTACAGGGAATCAGCTCTATATAATGTCCTCCATGGTGTTTTTGCACAGCAAAACTGACATGGTAACTTTTTACTTGATTCATGACTTATTCTTAGATGGCCTTAAAATAGAGAGTGTAGTATAAATATTTACATAATTGCACTGATATAGCATTACTAGACAGAATACCAACAGTCAACGTTGCTTTTGAAATTGACCAGAAAAGCTTGATTTACACGTAAGCATTTTTTCCATAAGTGCTCTGGGTTTCTCTCCTGGATGCAGATGCTGAGTAAACTGTTTCACGGGTGGGATGGTATGAGTAAGCACTGCAAGAGAAAGATATAGAATGTAAAAAATGTGCCCGCAAACACACTGTATTAATAAAAAGCACTTAAAAAATAGTATGACTGACTGTGAAAAAAAAAAAAACTCACGTCTTTTTTTCTGTGCCTAATTTGCAGCTGAACATGAGACAAACTCCACCACAGATGGCGAGGACAGCAGAGGCCCATCCAATGTATAAAGCCTCTCCAATCTCATACCTTCACCACACACACAAAAACATAGTTAAGTCAAAACAACACACAATGGATTCACCTTTTACTTTTGCACATGTATTCCCATGCTTTTGACACGTGATTACATTCACATTTGATTTTCATGTTTACTTTACAATGTTCCAAAACCACATCTTCCGTTTGCAAAATATGCTTTACATGTATTTTAACTACACTCAAATTTACCAGAAAGTTAATTCTACTCATTTGAAAAGAATTTTGAACTCAGTGTTGAAGGAGTAAGTTCACAGTACTCATTATAGTTTTTTAACTCAAATGGTTTGTAGCAATCAGTTTCCTCAAACGGTTTGAGTTGCCCTAACTTATTGGGTTTTCTCAGTACTCAGTTGGTTTGAGTTCTCTTCATTTATTGGGTTTTACTGTGCTCAAATTGCTTTGTTTACTCAAATGGATTGAGTTCACAGAACTCATTAGGATTAGTTTTTGAACTTAAATGGTTTGTTGCAATCAGTATCCTCAAATGGTTTGAGTTAGCTTAACTTTTTAGGTTTTACAGTGTAGAAATTGACTGATATCAATTTTTAGAACTGATACCAATACAATAACTCCCTTCTTCCACACAATGTAAACAACGATGGGTTCCACACAATCAATTTGTGTACGAACAACATGAAGGAATTAAGTTAAGTTATTCATTTTTACACGTTTAAATGGATTGAACATAAAGCAATTGGTTGTCCCCAAGAAAACCTCAAGAATTTTGTTGTTTCACTTTATTTTATATATAATAGCTTGAACAAACACTAAAGATTATTTTTGAGTGTACAAAACAACTCTTATTTATACACCAGTAAACAGAACTTTTGAAGTGTTTTTAAAGTGTTTTTGTTTAAAAATAAAACAATTGATGCATTAAAAAGGAGATATAAATAAAGCACATTGATCTAAGAAGTTCAATTACGAAACAAGCAAACGCATATATAAATGCGACAGCTTTTGTGCTGCAAAAAACAACACTGTAAATGCAACTAAGCCTACATCTTTTCTGCCACTTTAGGTCAGTGCATTTTCTCGAGCTGTAAAACACATTGAGATTACACTCAATGTGCAACACACAAGCCTCATATTGACTGTAGTACATTCGCACCCTAATCTGACGAAGAAGACATTGTCTAATAAAGTTGTTTTTAACAATATTCTTTGGTGAACAAAAGTGTGCTTGAAGTTTCATATGAATATAGTTAAACCACTGAGGTCACATGAAATGCTTTTACAATGTTTTTGGTTCCTTTTCTGGACTTCTCAGATCCGTTTCTGTCTATAAAGTGTCAGAGAGCTCTCGGGTTTCATCTAAAATATCTTCATTTGTGTTCTGATAATGAAGAACAGCATGAGGGTAAAAATATACTTTAAATATCAAGAAAAATATCTTAAAATCGATCGTTACCATAACGTGACCAGATGCAATTTTGCTCATGTGAAATTGATGTTTTTTGTAAGGCTTTGAAAATTGCAACAAGAAACTTTTCAATTTAATCTGTCTAACATAGTTAAGCTGTGTAAATCTATCAGTAGCTACTGAAGAAACACATGGTCTTCATGTATAATCAGGGGCGGATTTAGTGATTTGGGGGCCCTAAGCAATTCCAGTCATGGGCCCCGAAAGTTTTTAAATGCACCTTTTGTGCTTTAATTTATTTTTAATTGATTCATTTTGCTGTTTTAATTCTCATATCACTCAGTCTCCCTTTCAACATTTTGTCTTAATGCAAAATAATAATAAGACCATGTAAAGCATCTTGTAAAACTTTTTAAATGATTTTTTGAAAAACAAAAACGATATATAAACTTTTTTTTTTTTTAACTAAATCTTTACCTTTGACTGCATCGTGATTGAGGGTGGAGGACAAATTTGTACATTTGCGATTGTAATAAACATTAAACTTATTTTTTTAGACCCTCATCATACAAAAACTGATGGAAAATTATGTTATATAAAATTTATAGATATAACTAATACTTCTATGTATTTATTTGGGGGCCTTCAGATTTTCTGGGGCATAAGGCTGCTTATCTTACTTATTATTGTTTAAATCTGCCCCTGTGTCCAATCACATGTTAACATGAGATGTGAAATATGTTGAACAAGTCATTAACAGTTTTGTTGATTCTTAAGCAAAATACAGAATAGAATACAGTATTTCTGTACAGAATCACACTCTTACCCTACAAACCCAAAAGCATGTTACTTTGTACAAGCCTAACTAAGGCTCTGCAGTTAAGTATTGGCTATAATAAAATATAAATAAAACCTTTGACATACAATAGTCAGAAAGTGAAAAGGAAAAAACCTAAATGATAATAAATAAGGTGAATAAATTAAATCAGTCCTTATAACCCCCTTACATTTGCACTGCCACAATATTTCAAACAACTTTTCTATCTTTTTTATGTGAACACATTTGAACACTTGTAGACAAAATGTGATCACTTATGCATTACTTTTGTTTCACATATTTCACATGTGATTTTAATTTTAATTGCCAAATGCCATGAGAATAGTAATCACATTTCACAGATTTCAAATAACTTTTGGCTCTAATTGTCTTCCATATGTCTGGTTTAGCAATTAGAAAAGCGTATGAATTAAAAAAAATACTAACATGCACATTAAAATATTTAATAAACACTGAAATATCCCACAAATTAAAAAAAGTCTATTTTAACGTGATGGCTACTTTGATACTTGTTAAAACTGCAGATGCACCTGCTGAATGAGATTAAAGAGACAGCAGAGGGCAGCGTTTTCACTTTTCATTTATTACATCTCGGGTCCACATTTCCACATCAGGTTACTTACTTTTGCCCAGGGTAGAGTGGGTTGAAAAACTCTTGAGTGATGTTGGCAGCGTACCATGACACTGATATCATCGTGCACAAACCTGTAGATTGGATTAAAGGCATAAAGATAAACAGATAAAGCAATAAAGCGTTCTGAATGGAAACCTGATAAGGACAACTTTAAAGAGCTCTTCTCTTGAAATACATATTCATTTATAGGCCTATTTCATCGGGCTTCTTTTGAAATACGTAGCCTATATATTTAATAATACTGGGTTTATCTAGAGATGTGCTTTACCTTGCAGGAGAAAGAAAACGCCTCCGGTACCGGCTATTCTGCCTTTGAGCACGTAGTTTTCCCCGCCGGCCTTCGAGCACTGCATGCCGATGAGAGTCGCCACCACCCCGAATGTGCCCGACACCACCGCCGCAATCATGAGAGCACGGGACGCCTGGATGTAACCTGAGCGAAGAGTAACATGCACCGTTATATTTTCCTATTATAGGAAATATATTACTATATTATTCCATACAATTATAGTAAATAATTTGATAAACTTGTTGAAAACCTGAATACAGTGTTGAAAAATAAATATCATAGAATAGATAGGAGTCCTTAGGCTGTAGGCTAAAAGAAAGAAAGAAAGAAAGAAAGAAAGAAAGAAAGAAAGAAAGAAAGAAAGAAAGAAAGAAAGAAAGAAAGAAAGAGAAAAGAAATGTAACGTTACATACAGTGAAAAAAAAATAAATAAATAAACGAATACTTTTTATTTGTTTAATAACAAACAAATGTAGAAAAGACTGACAAAGAAAACAAGCCCGGCAGCAAAATAATCAAATAAAATAAAAATAGAACAATATTATTAATAACAATAATTAATACGTTTTATGAAACAAAATTTATAATAATGATAATAATTGATAAAAATAAATAAATAAATAAAAAGGCTACAAATAAAGTAAACTAAACATAAATAAATAAATAAGTAAATATAAAGATTTTATTGGATAAATAAATACATTTAATAATTAGGCTAATTAAAATCTAAAAAAATTTAACAAAGAATGTTAAATGGATGAAAGATGTGGCCTACATGAGTAACTGACTAGATAACAAAATAATTAAATAAAGAGGGAAGTAAAAAATTTTTTTATAAATACATAAATAGATATATTATTATTAATTATTAACCCTCATAAATAAATAAATAAATATATATATATATAAGCTTAAAGGGGCTAATCATTTTGAGCTTAAAAATGTTTTTTTTTATTAAAAACTTATTTTATTTTAGTTAAAATAAAACAAATAACACTTTCTCCAGAAGAAACAAATATTATCAGACATACTGTGAAAATTTTCTTGCTCTGTTAAACATCATTTGGGAAATATTTAAAAGAGAAAAATTATTCAAAGAAGGGCTAATAGCATCGACTAGATAGATAGATAGATAGATAGATAGATAGATAGATAGATAGATAGATAGATAGATAGATAGATAGATAGATAGATAGATAGATAGATAGATAGATAGATAGATAGATAGATAGATAGAAAAACAAATTGTGGTTAATAAATGGAGAAAAATAAACATGCAATTAGCCTAGGATCAAATGTCAGTCTATAATCAGTCCCTATACCAGACTATAAACAAGCAAACAAAAACAAACTAAATAAATAGATGATAATGAAAACAGGGTAAATAGTCAATATAGTTGTAAAACAAATAAAACGTGAAAATAAAGACTAAACTACAATTAGGAAAAATGCTAAAATAAAAAAGATCATTGACAAGAGATAACAAGAGATAAACAAAGTCCGATAAGCAATACAATTTACTTCACTCATTCAGTCGCCCATAACCAAACAAATAAATACCGACAAGGGAAATAAACAGGCAAATCCTAAACAAATAAAAAAGAAGACTAAATTACAAATTAAGAAAGAAAGAAAGAAAGAAAGAATTTTCTAAACACAAACACTGCAATCAAAGCTCTCATCCAAAATACAACTGACTTGCATTGTTTTTTAAATACTATTTTAACTAATAATAGCAATAGTAGGCCTATAGCTTAAAATAATAGCCTAGCTAAAAATGTTATGTCAAATTTTGTCCTGACCAGATAGAGCGAGCAGAGACGGGAATTCACGGCACTGGTGGACCCCTGTCGAGTCCGTGGCGCAGGACATCCACAGATTCTCATACAGGGTCGATGTGGTGATCACAGTCCCGTCTAAAGAGGACACTTTCCAGTAGCGGTTAGGAATTGTGATGCCAACCATTGTCCAACTTACAAAGCCAAGAAACAGAGCCACGGCTTCAATGATCGGATCCATTGTAGCTGCAGATTAACACAAACTGCAAAAATCATCCAGGCTTAGTATTCCTGTGAAGTTTGTCCTTTATTTGTTTTCAAAACACGAACACCTTTTGCTGAAAAGTTATAGAATATATCCAGGTTTAATTGGTTTTCTGTTCCATGGAGAGCTGGACCGCACCAGTGTGGCATCAGATAGAGTTGTGAGTGTCAGCGGGTCTTTATAGGCTCTGTGCGCCCTCCCCACACGCGTGCACATCTCACATTAGTTTTTTACACCCCGAAACTCAACAGGTGGTTATCAACAAAGTCCAATGGTCGTCAACTGACCTTCACTGGCTATGTATCCGCTATGTCTTGTGGACTCAAACACGCCGTGTGCATTGTAAAACGCGATAAGTTGATTTCACCTAAACAATGCGAGAAACATGACAAGCATGAATACCTTTAAATAGTTTGAGGTTGCAAGACTTGCTTCCTTTTTAAATTGACCTAAATGCACAATTTATTTGGTAAAACAATCAATGAACTGAAACCGGATAAAATGTATTTAACGGGATATTGCGAGATATGTGATTTCAAATGTGTTTTGAGCTTTAGTGTTTGATTTCTTGTTGTCACGCGATCCCCCAGAAATTATTCATGTCTATTTAAACATAGTACAAGCACAAACGTGTAGCCCCTTTTGAAAATTAATATTTTTTTCAATTTTCAGTAAATGTAGACAATATATTTTTGTGCATTTATCAAAACAGATTTAATTTATACAAAACAGTTACATTCATTAAGATAAGAGTTTGGTTACCTCATTAATCGAAAGATGGACCTAATCCATTTAAATTCAAACTTGTTATTGCAATAACAAAACAACAAAAACAAACAAACAATTAAACTACAAAATGTCAACTAAATTCCATATTTATACACTCAAAATATGATGTCTGCTGTTCGTTTAAAGTACTTATATAGAATAAGCTGAAACAACACAGTTATTGAGGTTTTTTTTGGGAGAGCTTAATTGTTTTACGTCCAATCCACATAAATCTGTAAAAACCAATAACTTAATTTCTTCATGTTGTCTGTACCAAAATTGATTGTGTGGAACCCACCATTTTTTACAGTGTGCATTAAAAAAGGTTTTTGGTGCTTGTTTAACTTTAAAACGATCAGAATTGACACAATTCTTGAGGTTTTTTTGGGGGGACAAACTTGTTTTATGATAAATCTACTTTATTTGCAAAAACAATTAAATTAACTTATGGATTTTGTGTTGGGACTGCATGAAGGAATTTTGTGCAATCTGGGCCGGTATAAGATTCTGACAATATGATAACCTTGGATAAAAATTTGGTTTCACGGTATTGTGCTCACTGGTCTAAAATACATTCTTTTTAAATGTCTGGATAAAAAACAAAAACTTAAAAAATATATATTTTTGAAAGATTTATTATATTTTGGAGAAGTAAACATGTCAGGCTGAATAATTCACATGAATCACTGCCCTTTGCTGTCTTCTTTTGTTTTTAAAAACACAGATTTCATGACAATTTAAAACAGCATCTTTTAAGATTTTTTTCTGCTGGAGACACTGTTGTCCTAAAAAACAAAACAAAACAAAACAAAAAACAAACAAAGAAACAAACAAAAAACATTACACATACCTTATCAGTATTGCAGAAAATTCTGGCGGTTTTAAAACCTTGACTTTTCCAAACCGCGGTATACCATGAAAATACCTTTATCCAGCATTTTTCACAGTGACAGTGTAAAAAAGCAGGGTTTCACACAATTTATGTATTTTGTTCCAACACAAATTAATTAAGCTAACCTAACAAACTTAAGTGGACTGCACAAATGTTTACACCCCGAAAAAACAATAAAACAATAAAGTCCCACTCCCCCCCAAAATTTAATATTTTCCCTCAACATATTAATTTGGATGTACTAATTTTTGGACTGCATCTAAAGTTTTTTTTTTTTTTGTTAGATTAGTTCCAGTTTTGGCATTGGTATAATGTAATATAAACATAATTATACTACTAAAGTATAGAAAATATACATATTTGCTAAATTTAAGTATTCATTCATTCATTCATTCATTCATTCATTCATTTTCAGTCCCTTTATTAATCTGGGGTCATCACAGTGGAATGAACCACCAACTTAACCAGCACATGTTTTGCACAGTGGATGCCCTTCCAGCTGCAACCATCACTAGAAAACATCCATTTACTCCCAGTCACACACCACAGACAATTTGGCCTACCCAATTCACCTATAGCGCATGTCTTTGGACTGTGGGGGACAACGGAGCACCCGGAGGAAACCCACAACAACACAGGGAGAACATGCAGACTCCACACAGAAACAACTAAGCCGAGACTCGAACCAGTGACCATCTTGCTGTGAGGCCGGACAAAAACCAGTAGACTGAGGAACAGCTTTTTCCCCAGAGCTGTCTCCCTTTTGAACTCTTCACCTCACTGACTCTTTTTCCACCCCCACCCCACAAATTTTGCGCATATTTATACATTGCACTGGTTCGCTTATTTAAACTGTACATACCCACTGCACATGGGCATCTGTAATTATGTACATACCCACTATACATATACATTTGTAATTATGTTTATCTATCTGCACACTTCTGATTATTAATAGCAACCTGTACATATATCTCTGTTCATAGCTAATACAACCTGTATATAATGTTAATAGTACATCACCATAGTTTTTCTATAACTGCACTTTATAACTTATGCCTGTATAATCTAATCTAATCTTCTAATTTCTAATCTAATATAATCTAATGTTTTCTTTATTAAATATTAATATAATATTAATGTATTTTAAACACTGTCTTAACCCCCAGCTTTTCAACAGTTGCCATACAAAAAATGCAAAACCAGAGATACTTAAATAACAAAGCTCTTTAACAAAAACAAAAGTGGTCGAAATGAGAAAACAGCAGTGACTATAGAATGAAGAAAGGTAATATCTACACTTCTGAAGAATACAGTAGTCAAAAAAAAAAAAAAAAAAAAAGAGTAAGCCCTTGCTTTGAATGACTTCTGCTCATCTGTGTCTCTCAAAGGACATCTGTAGTCTCTTGCTTTGGCTATAAAGTGCATGTGGTCTTCATCTGGACATACATGGTTTCATGGACTTTAGAACTGCTCAAAATGTAAGAATATAGGTTGTTATGATTTTGATCTCCACTAAGTTTGCAATTTGAGATGCAGCCTTAGTTTTTTCTTGCGGGGACTTTTATGCTTCACTTTGGTTCCTGCTTCTTATTGTCATGACGCTTTGATTACCTCACACCTGTTTATATTTGATCTCATTTATCTTGTGTAAATCCTTCAGTTCAGTTTGTGCAGTGCATGCCATTTCATAATGTCTGAAGCCAGTGCAGATTTTTTTCTCTTAACAAACTATATTTATTGCATGTTTTTGCAAAAGAAAGAAAAATGTAATAAACACAACAAAGAGAAAACACTGTCAAAACTGCTTTAAATTGCTTTGTTGAATCAAAGGAAATGTTCTACTTATCTCAACTTACATTAGTCAAACTAACCAAAAATTAATTTACATATTGAAAAAAGTTTATTGAAATAAAAATTAGCTGTCATTACTTTTTATCATCATGTTTTTGCAGTGCAGAAGACATTTTAACCATTTCAAGAAATGTTTTTGGCAATTAGCTATAGAACAGCATTTATTTGAAATACATTTTTTGGCAACAGTGTAAAGTTCTTCACTTACTCTTTTGATTATTTAATGTGTCATTGCTGAATCCCATCCATTAATATATATCAACAGCAAAACTCCTGATTTTTGGACAAATAAGAGCCAACTGAAATGTACTGAATGTGTTAATAAACACAGCTAAAATAAGCAATGACTGACCCAAATGATTCAAACATTAACCTGGCCTTTTAATAACAGATAGTTTTTGTGAATAGGCTACTCGGACATTTAGTGAAACGTTTTAAGAGACGTTTTTTTAAAGTAAATCTCCAAAGGAGTCACTATCAAAAGAGGGAAAAGGGGAACTACTGCACGCAGTGATTAACTCAACAACTGAAGAAGCGACTGACAGTGTTTATCTGTTACTGCTTTTGTCTTGTGTTATCTGTCCCACTGCTTCCGAAATACTCATATATCCATCAGCCGGCCTGCAGACTAACAAACGCCAATTTACACTGTAAAAAATACCTGTTAATTAACCAGATTATTTACAGTTGTGAATTTCATTATGGGACCTTGATCTCTGATCTGTCGACTTTTGATGATGAAAATTCAACTCTACAGTTTAACAGTGACTTTACTAACATTGTAGTAGCTTGAAATAATATAATGTATAAGAAATAATATATAGATAAAGTCTCTAAAGCAGAGGTGGCCAAACATTTTCTTACAAAGGGCCAAAAATCTAATTTGACTGAGGGTTGTAAGCTGAAGGGAAATATAGCAAACTGTATTGCATTAAAGTTGCCTAATTTATTTCACAATATTCAAAAATAAATAGCAAAAATTACTTTAATTGAATTATAACAAACAGACCCCGGATTAATAAAGGGACTAAGCTGACAAGAAAATGAATGAATGAATTCATGTTATAACACAATGGAGTTCAATGCTGTCTAGTTACAGTTACAAGTTGCCGATGTCTTGTGCATTGTCCTTTATCTGTCAAGTGACAGTATTTACATAAAATCAAAAAATCTCAACATTTAACTGAAACATTTAATTTCAGCTTTTTTGTAGCTTAACAATAAAACAAACAAAATGTCAAGTTAAATCAGAAATAATCTGTTAAATCTAAATAAATAAATGTCTGTCATTCTCCCTCACTTCTTAGATGGGACGGTGGCCCAAATCAAAGGTTACCGTGGGCCAACTTTGCCCCGGGGGCCCTATAGTTTGGACATCTCTGCTCTAAAACAGATAACAGACTGGCAGTTTATGACATGGTTTTTATACCATAATATAGCCCACCAACCCAAACAATTTCTCACTTAAAACTATTAAAAATGTTAATAAAAGTCATTTTTTCAAACTTTTCAATGTTAAACATTGTTGGATGAAAGATCAAGCTCCCATCATGCAAATCAAAAGCATAAATAAATGAGGGAAAATAAAAACATGACAAAATATGGAAAACTACTAATTTATGAA